AAATGAAATCCTTTAAATAACATCCTCATCTATTATTCCCCATCCTATTCTTCCCCTCTCGGCCGGTGGCAGGCACATCATCCACTCCACTGCTCAGGGAGAAACCCAAGATTTACCCCTGACATGTTCCTCTCCCTCATCTGCTATGCCTAATCCTTCCATTAGTTCCTTTGAATCCCCTTTAAAAACAGCTCTAACTCTCCAACTTGCATCTCCACTACCACCACCCTAATCCAAACCATCAATACTTTCCAATTATATACTCAGTAATAATCGAAATTATATACAGTTCCTAAAGAGTACCTGTGTCTATCATGTCCCTTCCTCACTTACAAGCCTCCAATGTTTCCTACAAATGAGAACAGAAACGGAAATGTTTTCCCATTGTATAGAAATAAAATCTCAACCACTCATCACGGCCTTAAAGTCCTACAGAACTGCCCTACCCCTCTAACTTTATCTTGTATCGCTGTACTCCTAGCTCACATTGGTCCCCTTTCTACAACTCCCACCGCAGGGACTTAGCCAAAAGTACTGCCTCTGCTGAAAGTAGTTTTCCCTGGGCTTCCGGATTGCAGAGTTGCCTCTCATCCTGCTGCAGGTCTCAGCTTAAACATCACTTCAGATTCCCCTATGCTCATCTCAGCCCCCAATTCGTTTCCTTCCCAGCGCCGATAACCTGCAACTGTACATTCAGGTTGTAAACTCGGCACCCAGCACGCCCAGGGCGGAATGGATGTTTGCCAAACACACCACAGAAGAGCCAACTGCAAGCAGCACGGGCCGGGATTTTAGAAAGTGAAGGCAGTTCAGGTGAACCCAGCACCGTCAGGGCTGGGCAGGAGGGAGAGGAGTCTCCAAGCTCCCGTCAACCCCCAAACTCCCAGAGCAGAAAGGCCACAGAAGACCGTCCAGCACGTGACAGGCGGGAGCACCTGTCCCCGCTCGGACCGCTCGGAGAGACCCTTCCCTGCAGCGCCGGAGAAACGGCGAGCTAACCCCCTCAGGGCGGCCGCCTAGCCAGCCGCACTCACCGCACACGTGTGGGTCCCGGCAGGCGTGGGGCAGAGGCCGGCGCCTGTCCACGCTTCGCGGGGCCGCTTCCGCTTCCTCGACTTGCTCCGCCCCCAGGCCCGCCTTTTCCTTCTTCCGCGGCGGAGCTGGGGTTAAAGGATAGGCATTAGCCCGGAAAACGGAAATTACGCATTTCTATTGGTCCGCTTCTATGACCTCATCTATAGGCGCCACGCGCGGGTTTTGGCCCTTGAAAGGATCCGTCGGGCGACCGCGTATCACCGGCCCCTGGGAGTGACGTCATTAACCCTGTCGCTGCCGCGCTAGGGGAAAGAAGGCAGCTCCTCACCCAGTGGTCGGTTGTTGAAGTGATGTCGGGTGGCGCCTGAGCTAATACCAGAATAATTGATTTTGTTAGAGTGCGTTCATTTGTATCCTCTCTGGCAGTCTAGCGTGAAGGATAAAATCTCGGAAGTCGGTTTGAATTTTAATCCTGTTTTTTTGTTTGTTTGTTTTACCGCTTGCTAGCTGTGTGGCTTTGGGCAAAATGCTGTATTTGGCTGAGCGTTGATTACCAGATCAATAGAGATCGCTAAGTCATTCATAGAAAGCGCTTAGCACAGTGAATGATCATGGTAGGCGCTCAGTGAATGTCATTTTTAATATCTGCTCGTTTCTCCGGACTGCAGTTATCCCATTTTCCACCCCAGGAAATGAGACGGTAGTTAGGATATTATCCCCACTTTACAGATGAAGAAACTAACACGACAAACTTGGTTATGATCCTTGTCATTGGATTTAAGGCCCATTGGGATAATACAGGATGATCTCATCTGAAGGCCGTTACTTAAGGACATCTGCAAAGATCTTTTCCCAAATAAAGTCACTTTCACAGGTTCTGGGGGTTGGGACACTAACATGTCTTTTGACCACATGGAAAGAGGAATTGGGACATGATCTCAAGTGTCAAGCACAGATTCTACTGTCTTGCAGACGACGCCACTTCTTGTCCCTTAAGGCATTAGACTGGTAATTCACTAGACTAAAGAGGGGCCATCATTACTTCCCAGGCACCCATCCCTTTATTCAGCACATAGATGTTTACCAAGTACTTATTTTTTGCCCTAATTATTATAAGTATGTTTGCATTTCAGCTCACTTAAGTCTCATAGGAACAGCTGAAGTAGGTCTTCTCCTTTCGGTTTAGGGAAACAAGGGGAAACACAGTAGAGTTGCTCAGGTGAGCCTGACTCCAAATTCAAGGAGGCTGCCTCTGAACTGCTTTCCCTAATCCATTAGTTCTCCAGTAAATGCTCGAGAGCAGAGATACACCGTACCACACAAGAGCTGGAAAGGATATGTTTTTCTTTCTTCTTTTCTTTTTTTTTTCCTTTGTTTCCTTTTCTTTTCTTTCTTTCTTCTTTCTTTCCTTTCTTCCTTCCTCCCTTCCTTTTTTTTTTTTAAGATTTTCTTTATTTGACAGAGCTAGCACAAGCAGGGGGAGGGGCAGAAGGAGAGGGAGATACGTTTTTCTTTTTAAGGCCACAGATAGCAGCACCCCATATCCTCTCAGACATATCCATGTGAATATCTTAAACATATACATCAAAACCCTACTGTTCATGGGGTGCCTGGGTGGCTCAGTCGTTAAGCGTCTGCCTTCGGCTCAGGTCATGATCCCGGGGTCCTGGGATCGAGTCCCACATCGGGCTCCCTGCTCCGCCGGAAGCCTGCTTTTCCCTCTCCCCCTCCCCCTACTTGTGTTCCCTCTCTCGCTGTCTCTCTCTCTGTCAAATAAATAAATAAAATCTTTAAAAAAAAAAAAACCCTACTGTTCATTTGTTTTTTCACGAGGGAGAGAAAAGAATCACATACCTAAGTCCTGGATTATTATTAATAATGCTATTTATCAAGTCCTTTGTGCTGCCAAAAAATGAATTGACTTGAATGTTTTTGTTTGGAATGAGTTGAAAGTGTCTCCTGGTTTTGCAGAATAGCAATAAAAAAAAGCTTATCTTGTAATTTTGCAGTTAACCAGGTTAAGCCCATTAATTCTTCAAATATCTAATGGTCTAAATGTCGAGCATTAGGAACATGTGTATTCCTAGAAGCATAAAATGCTCTTCCTAAATGATAGAGCACACAACTTAATCAGAGCACCTGGACTTCTACATGTCTAAGAGGTTTTGTAGCACTGTAATTAAGAGGATTGGCATTGGAATCAAATCTGGCTTAGAATCCAAGGTCTGTAGGACTATGGTTTCTGCATATATAAAATGGGAATAGTAGCACCTATCTTTTGGAGTTGCTGCATGACTCAAAAATAATAACTGTAAAGATATTAACCAGTAGTAAATGTTGAGTGATGCATAGCTTTAGAGAGGAAAAAGACACAGAGAGAGAACCAAGCTATATCCATTGGGAATGTTTTTGGCTGCAAGTAATGGAAATTTCAGCTATTAGTGGCTTAAGCAGTAATTCTTCACACAACAAAAATTCTAAAGTTAGTTTCCTAGTTCAATGACACAATGATATCATCAAAGACCCAAGCTCTTTCACAGTTTCTGGGCTCTACCATCCTCAGTGTGTTGACTTTTAATATTCACACTCTTTGCTTTTATTTATTTTCTTTTCCTCCCCCTCTGTACCTGTTGATCACCCTCACCTATCCCCTCTTGTCCCCCCATGTCCCCCTCACCCTGGAAACCATCAATCTGTTCTTTCTTGGAGTTTCGATTTTTTTAGATTCCATATATAAGTGAAAGCACACAGTATTTGTTTATCTCTGACTTATTTTACTGTTGCTTTCTGAGGCCAGATGTACTCAGTTACAGGACTTATATCAGAGTTTAGGGCTAGGAGAATGGGGAAAGGGGTCAAATTCACTTTTTCCACCCAATAGGACTCGGTCCTTTTATTCCAAAAGGAAAAGACCCAGCAGGATTTACCTTCTATTTCAGTGCCTGGAACTGGGTTACATGGCCACCCTCAGGATCAAAAGACCATAAAACATAATGTTAATCATGGCATTTGGATTTAATTATTTTTCCAGTACTCTAGTAAAATTAAAGGTCACTTGGCAAATATGCCTCCATCCCACAGTAGGGATTTAATCTGCAATTTAAACTAATCTGGTTTAAAACTTAAAATAACTGTAGTAGTCAAGGTGGCCGATCTCAATCTTGGCCACACATCAGAATCACCTGTAGAGTAAAAAAAAAAAAAAAAAAACAGAACAAAACAGTAATGCTGATTTAATTAGTCTGAAGTGGGACCTGGGCTTTGAGGATTTGGAAAGTTCCCCACGCTACCATGTAGCTAAAATTAAGAGCCACTTGTTTAAAGAATGGATTTCTAGTTGTTGATTTGATTTTCTAGTTAACGGAGGATTAAGCCCTATAACCCTCTGGTCCCTCCTTTTGTGCCACCAGAATTAAAGAATTAAATGTATAATACACTTGTTTCTGTAGGTAGAATGTCTTGGACATAACTATCTTTCTTGCTGCTTGAGGTTTCCATTAGTTATTTAATATTATGATATATTGAAAATGGTTTAAATTTGAAATATATACTTTCAAATGTATTCTGGAAAATGTTTGCTTTTTTTTCCCTCATGATTTTGTGCAATTTTTCTCTTTTTCATAAAAATAAAGTGTTAGGTGTTAGCTCCCACACATCTCCCCTTTCCTAAAATCAGTTCTTTAGAGTTCTAATTAATGGATTTTTAACTAATTGGTGTTGTTTCTCTGTTTCCCAAATGCATAAGCAGGGATAAAGGGCATGTTATTGATATAAACCGTAAGTGAGATTTTGGCAAAGATCGAGTTTTATTTTCAGGGCCTATTAGAATCACAAATCCATGGAAACAGAGCAGTTGCCAACACATTTTCTTTTAGTAAAAAAGAACTGCTTCTGAGTAGGGTGGATTATGTTTTTCAATACCATAAATTTGCTACAAAGTGTACTGATAGAGTCTAAACATTAATTGTGCATTCATAATGTCCTGGTTGCTATCTCATAAACACAAAATCGATCTTGGCCCTAATTTACTTTCTTTGGTTCCATGCTTAGGGGCAGCAGAAAAATAACATGACCAAAATGAAAGTGTATCTGACTGCAGTATAAAGTACCACTTTTAATGAAAGATCATGTCCGCATGTGATGGAGAAATAAAAACCAAGGTTAATTAGTGTCACATAAAGCCCACAAAGTATCATTTATATAGAGAGCACTTACAATGCACTATGGTTTTATAAAACAAAACTCCTCAAGCAATGTGTACCAGTTTTGGGTTTTAGCTAGAATGAGAACAATTAACATGTTTTTAAGTTTTTGTTTAAATTTTCTTTATAGGCTTGATAAGAGGTATTTCCTTTGGAAAGTAGTGACTGGTTTTAGCCTCTGATTTCCTTGATTTAGGAGCAATCAAGTCTTGATAACCAAGCATTTCGATAATTATACATTTTCTAATTGTTCCCTCCATTTAACTTTTTAAAACTATAGAAAGTTTATGTCAGGAATTACAGTGATGATCCAATTCTACCTACCCAAATTTCCTCCTCCTTTTGAGATAAAGAAAAAATTAACCAACTAGCTTAAACCCATTGTGTCAGTTTGAATTCTCCAGGAAGCAGATGCCAAGATAGAATTAGGAGGCCAAGAAATTTATTGGCAGAAAAGCCTACGAGGGAGGAGAAGAGAGGGAACAGCAATGAGTGAGAAGAGCCTCAGACCACAGTGCTGATCTGACACCTGTAAAGGGAGAGACGGAAGGGCCAAGGATGTGGTGGGATGATGTCCAGACTGTAGTAGAGCTCTGAGGAAGCCTGAGCCATCAAAGGGCTCCAGAGCAAAGACTGCCCATCAAAGGAAAATGGAATGTGTAGGAATGGCCCAGCTCTAGTACCCCTCTGTGCTCAGTCATTGTTTAGGCAACCCAGGGAGAGTATGGCCTCAGTGTGGATGCTGTGGTAGACCCTGAAGTTGTGGCCTTTGTAGGCTGTCAGCTAGTCACACCTCTTGAAGCAGGTTCTCTCTTGAAAGGAGATCAGAGCAGTTCACTCCCATGGCTGCCAGGGTCTACCCCTTGCACAGCACAGACATACTTCTCCATCCATGCTAGGGGAGTAGCTCCTCCATCACTCCTTTGGCTCTCTTCTCCGAGGGGGGAAAGCTAGAAGAGGCAGACAAAGGTTGACGTGTAATCTCCTTGGGGCTGCAACAGATACTCATCATCTCCTCTACACTGTCCATTCTGTTTTTAGCTTGCCCTCAGCTACTAACTTGGCAGGTCTTGGTAGCTTACCTGCTCATGCCTTAGCCCTTACTCAGGGAGTCAGAGACCCAGAGACCTCTTTCTAAGGTGAGGGTTGCTACACAGGTCAATTTACGGTTATAGTGGGGGCTGAGGAGTACTGAGAGGCACCTAAGTGGATCACCTGGGCTATATTGATCCCTCCAGCCCCATTGTGTAAAAGCAGCCTTACCTCCATATAATGATCAGAATTAATAGCCCCTGCCAAGATGGTGACTCCTCTTCTCACTATTGGTCCTGGACACAAGGAGTTCAGTATGTCCAGATGGCATCTATAGTTCAGTGGAATGCAAGAATGCATCCTCTCTGGGGACAAGAGCCTCTAATTCCACAGAGCCCCAAAGTCCTGGGGGGCAGAAAACACAATTTCCTCCAGAGTTTTCATTGAGAACAATGGTAAGTAGGGTCATTCTTGCTTCTACCCTTTAGTTCCCAGACCCATGTATTCTTCTTACAGCACCATGGAGAGATCTCGGATTTGCATTTACTCTGCATTCTGAAGGACAGCTCCCCATGTTTGTAGGTTATGGCCTTTATGGTGGTCTTTCGGCTGTGCTTTCAGAAGGCCATTGCAGCACTCTTATCAGGCTGACTGCCTCTGGCTGGTAGAGTGTGTAGGATGACTTGTGGATCACATGTCTTTTTTGATTTGAAGTGCATCCCCGGTTCACATGCTATGTTAACTAGGGTTCTGTCCCTATGGATCAAGCACTTCATAAGCTTTTAGAGAGTGAGGTTGGCAGAAGCTCTGTGGCCAGAAAGGCCAGCCCGTACTTGGAATAGGACTCTGTTCCTATGAGGTGAATTTGCTTGCCGTTCTGGAATGAAAGGAACCCAATGTCATCAACTTACCACCAGGTGGCCTGTTGGTCTCTTTGGGAAATAGTGTCCTATCAGGGGCTCAGCACTGGTTCTGTTGCTGGCAGTTTCTACATTCAGAGGGAGCAGTAGTTGGGTTGGCGTTAGTGAGTGGAAGTGATGCTGTTGGGGTCATGTGTAGCCTCCAATTCTGACATCATGGCCACTCCATTCATGTACCCATCATGCTGGTTCTAGGGTAGCCCCTGCTGAAAACTAATGCCAACTGGCTGAGTCATTTTGTCAACTTAGTTGTTCAGTGTTCAGGGTGGATGCCTTTTTATGGGTATTAATGTGTGAAATGTACACATTCTGTGTCCATTACCATGTGTCCATCCATCTACATGCTTTTACCCTGGACCTTTTTATTTCCCATCGTCCTTTTCCTTCCAAGCTCTGACCAGCTGGTTGGGCCACTGGCCAATGATTAGGAATCTCTATATGTTCCCATCTTTGGCCACTTTTCTTTCCCCATAAAGTGGATGACCAGGTGCACTCCCTACCCTTTAAAAAGATTTGCCCTCTCTGCTGTCTTTCAGCCTGTATGAGGCTGTTCAGTTTCAGTCTCCACCCACAAACTGAGCCAACTCATCTGTAAACTACGCTTGGGCTTTCTCCTCCTCCTTCAGCTGTTTATGTGGCACCCTACTATCAGACCATGGATGAGAGCTCAGGGAGGAGGGCTGATACAGTCATGTGGGTGATATGGAGGTCTGTGCTCCCTGTTCATGCAGCTAACTCATGCCCTCTGGTCTTACTTGGGCTCAGTTCCTGATGTATCATTTCTATCTTATGTTGCTGGGCCCATCTGGCTTTTGAATTGACAGGCAAAACAGAACTGGCTCTTAATGGGTAGATCTAGACGGAGGCTCATTGGTATGCTATAGTCAGGTCTCTTATCTCCATTAGGGCTCAGTAACATGCCAGAAGCTCTTTTTTTGAGATGTGTATAATTCTCCATTGCAGATGGCATGATCTTGAGCCAGAACCCCAAGGTCCTGTGATGTGATCTTCCTAACTGAGTTACCATGAACTCTGCACTGCATTTTTTCTCATCACCAACACCTCCACACCACAGGGTCTGCCAGATGATCTGGTCTAAGTGGGAAACCTGCTTTCATTATTGCCTGGACATGCTGTGCAACACTTTCCTGACCCAGGCACCACTTAGAGCGGGCACCCTTCCATGTCCTCTGGGGTACGCACCAGAGCAGGATTCCTACATGTGGAATATGTGGCCTCCAGAACCAGAAGAAGCCCACCAGGCACTATACTTTTTATTTTGTAATAGGAAATGCAAGATACAACAATGTGTCTTTACTGTGGAGGGGACTTCCACATCCCTGACCTTAAAAATGTGTACCTCATTTTCAGTCCTAGCTTTTAGGATTCCTGAAAGCTTTACTGAAGTGGCTCAACCCTGAATCTTTACAGGGTTTGTCTTCTAGTTTCTGGAGCACATGTTCCTTACCAAGGTCTCTAGCATACTAGCCATGGATTTATTTTATTGACGTGATGGATCAATGTGATGTTCCGCAGGTTGTCCAGATGGTCCAGATCTCTTCGGACTAAATTAAGACAGGAGGTGGGCGAGCTAACATAGCCCTGGTACAGAACTGTAAATGAATATTGTTGTTCATTCCAACGAATGTGAACTGCTTCTGATCCTATTTTCCATCTATTTTTTTTTCCACCCTATTTCACCATCTGCTATGGCAAACTCCGGCATTACACCTTTGCTCTCCAGGCTTTGGAAAGCCACACGGCAATGTGTTTGCCCCATTCCCCGGGGTCCTTGCCAGGGTGTTAGATCCCATGTCCTGAGAAAGTGACTCCAAGTCAATGTTTCCCTGCTTGTTCACTTTTACCCTCCAACCCCTTGGTCAAGCACCCTCAGAATCCACTCCCTGGCTTCTCCTCTGCTCCTGACAGTATATGCGGGCCAATTCTTGCAGGTCTTCTGGGGGCATACTCTCTTTTCTCAGTCATTAGGCCCAGCATGTCCTCAGGTCAGTTATGCTGGGATTCAACTCGTGTTACTGGTCTGCCACCCAGGAGGGGCAGCTGAGGCAGCCCCAGGGGGTAGGGGTAGGGTATGGGGAGGGGAGCAGGTGTTGTCTTGCAGGGAGAGGTGTCTGCAGTGTCTTCCTGCACAAGAGAAGTCTAGCTCGTAAGTGGAAGGTGTGGACCACCTTTGCGAGTTACCAAAGAGGCCTCTGGCTCTCCCACTAGCCTTTAACTACCTAACTGCTTTCAGTTTCTCGCTACCACTCTGCAGGGAATCCTCCAACTCCACTATCCTTAAATACATTGTACCCCCCCTTCACTTTCAAATGCCTGAGCCACTGTATTGGCAATTCCATTCCACCAGATGTCCCCTGGTCATCAGTGGTGACGGTTTTTTTTCTTTTTTTTTTAGCAACTGAGCAATCATCTCATGCCAAGGATTGGCTGTGCCTCACATACCACTTGGATTGTGATCCTCCTTGCCAGCCATGGTGAATAATCCCGTCTCAAAACCCCATCTTATTGCCAGCTTTCTGGAGTCCCTCCTGGTACCATTTGTGTTATTTCAAGTTTTCTGGGAAGCAAAAGCAAAGGCAGAGTTAGACATGTAAGAGATTTATGCAGGGAATATAAAGAAAAGTGGGAACAAGGTAAGTGGGAGAATCTCCAACTGCAACGTGGGAAGGAGGGATTGGTGGGAAGAGACATCAGAGAAAGGCTGAGAAAGTTTCGGCCAGGGTGGAGGGCAGCCGCAAAGCAAAGTGCCACTGGAAGAATCCCAGCTGGGCAGGAGTGTGGCTCATGCACGTTAGCCATGCTCTGAGCCTGGCTGGCAGAAGCCCTGGGGGACGGTGGCCTTGGTTTGCATGCCATGGTGGACCTGAGGGTGTGAGAGCTGGAGGCTTTCAGCCAACCAAGCCTCTTACCACTCTCAGCAGGCTCGCTTTTGTCGGGAGATGGGAGCAGTACACCTCTGCCTGCCTCAGTCATATGATTAGCTCAGTGGCAAGACAAGGACAAAAACCAGAATCATCACTAGGGTTTGAGAAGACTAATCCTTTGCTCTTTTTATATTTTGGACAAGATTAATTTCTGCCATATCTTCTTCAGTGAATCATCTAGTATTTAGCAACTCAAAGCAATAAACCCTCAGAAAACTTCCTTGGACAATGAATAATATAAACTATTGAACAAAAATACCTCCCAGCATTGAAAGTAGAAGTTGGGTTTTGGGGAGCTATACCATCCAGGGTTTGTCTTGATGTGTCTTTGTTGAGATTTAGTCTATGTAAGGCAGGGTGCCCTGGGTGCCTGTCTGCATAACATCTAGACCAACATAACAATCTAGAATTTTAAATTTGGTGGCCAAGAGCTTTACATATATTAATATCTGTTTTGTCAAACATCATTGTATCATTTCAGAAGAATTTGCCATATGAGAGCCCGGAAATTGTCTTGTTTTCTGTAACATCCCCAGGGCCTACAAGATTGTCTAGCATGTATTTGCTTGGCATAGTATTTGCTAAATAAGTTTTGTGGCTCAACTGTAAATTCCTAAGTGTGGGGACCAGAGTCATCGTATTCCCTGGCACACAGTAAGAACTTATGTCAAAAATTCAGCAACTAGATTTATTCAGTGGCTACTCTGTCCTAGGCACTAGGGATGTATTAGTCAACAAAACTAAGAATCCTTGCCAATAAACATCAAACAGCAACAAACAAGAGCTAAGTGCGCTGTAGGATATGTTACAAGTACTACCGTGGAAAGAACAGAGCCGGGTAATGGGAGAGCGAGGTTGGGGGGACAGATTGCAGTAGTTAAGTAGAGTGGTCAGAGTAGGTCCCATTGAGGAGGAGAGATTTGGGGGAAGACTTGGGAGTTTGCCAAACATCTCTGGGAGAGGAGCCTTCCAGGCAGAGGAAAGAGCTAGAACAAAGGGCACAAGGTAGGAATTGTCATCACACATGACTGGTGTCTTTGAGGAAGAGGGAGCAGGCCAGTGTGGCTGGTGTCAGCTAGGGGAAAACTATAGCAGGAGACAAGGTTAGAAGGAGAACAGGAGTGCTTGGCAGAGAGTGAAAGGATTTTTGGACCTTTTAAGGACTTAGGGTTTTACTTTGAGTGAAAAGAGGAGCCACCTTAGGGTTATGAGCAGTGGAGAAAAATGACCCGACTTACAACAAAACAATAAACTTTGTAGAATCAATGAATATGTGAAGTAGAGAGGATCATCCAATTCCGTTGCCCAAGAACGGGTTCTAGAAAATTCAGTGTAAGGATATATATTTTTCTGATCCTTTCCTGATAGTCACATTGTCGATCTCTGGGGAGCTGCTGGTCTTAATGCCACTGTATCATTCCTGCTTTCAACAGCGGCAGAGGAATCGCTGGCCAACCACGTAATCCCGACCAACTTTTAGATACCCCTTGATAGTTTCTAGAGCATTTTTAGTATTTATTATGTCACTCAAATTATCATGACAACTATATGTGATAGGTGTTAGATAACAAACATATTACAAATAGAAAAACAGGAGTTTATATATATATATATATATCTCCCACAGTCACACAGTTAATAAATGGCAGAGTCTGAATTTTGCCTCCTCATCTAGGGTTTATGGGGCCACATTCTAGGTCTGAAAGATGCAAAATGGTTTGTATTCCCTAGGCAGGGCTCACAGTGCAGGTGGGAGGCCAGGATAGGAATAAACAGAACTGTGGTATATATATCAGAATAAAAAAGTAGAGGCAAGGTGCCAAAGTTATGGTGTGTTTGGCAAAAAGGTCCACAAAGGGGATGATGGTTGTAATGGCTGGTAGTCTTGGATACGCTGAAATGGGTGCATGTGTGTGTGTGTGGGGGGGGGCGTTCAGGTGGTGGGAATAGTGCCAGCAAATTCTTGGGGGTCAGGATGAACACTGTACCCCCTGGGAATGGGTGCATAGACACAAACAGTTGGAATCTCCATTTTGAGTGGCAGTTAGAGGAAACAGAATCACAGCAGGTAGAAAAAGGCTGTGTTATATAGAGTCCCAGACCATAGACTAAGGACCGTTTGTACTTGATCCAAGGGAAGTGGACAATAATTTCTGAGGGGAGGTGGTGATGTTTGCAAAGTTTTTGTTTTTTTTTTTTTAATCTCTTTGAACTTTTTAAGAAAGCTCAATATAACAAGTCTGTGCCAACATGGTTTCGTGGGGGGGTAACCATGACAGACAGTGTCTTAGAGTGAGTTCCTCCCGAAGTCAACCCAAAACAAAGATTCAAGTGAAAATAACTGATTTTGGAGGGGATGCCAGGAGATACCCATAAGAGACTAAGAGAGAGAGAGAAAAGAAGGATGCCAACCAAGTGTTTCTTGTCAAGCTCTTTACCACCGTAGGTAACTGGAGAATAATCTTGTTGGGGAACTCTGGAGGGACCGATGAAGAGCATGCACTTTGTAGTTTCCCACCCAAGGGGTACAGGAGATGGGGTGCTTACACATGAGCTCCCACCAGTTATTGGCTGAGGGTTGCTCCTGGGGGCAGAGGCTGTAGACCCCCAGCACTAAGCCCACCCCATAGGGGCAATAAGATGTCATGTGGCAGCCTTGGGAGAAACCCTCAAAGATGCATCTGCTGGCAAGGGGGCGGGGGATGGACAGCGTGCAGTGAACAGGTGAAGGCAGCAGGTATGGACCAGCTCCTGGCAGGATCTGCTACAGGCAGATCCCTGAGCAGAGAGTGACACAGGTAGGGACCAATGTGCCAACAGCAGGGAGCGAAAAGAAGGAACAGGTTTTAAGAGCTTTTATAAAGGAAGAATTGCAAGCTTGGTCTTACAGACTCTTGCCTTATAAGGTGACAAGTAACTCAAGCCGCTTAATGACTTTGGAATTAAACTCAGAGAAGTCGGCCTGGCCCCACATGCCTCCTTTGTAATACATCTGGGAATTTAAGTATTCATAAGACTAATTTAAAAATACCTATAAATTACACATATTAGGACAGGACCTGGAGAAAGGGGCGATAACGCTCATAAACACACTCACGGGAGAGCAGGGGATCATGCGACCTAATTCCAGATTCGCTCATTTCAGCTGCTCTGCCTTTTTCATGGGAACAAAAGAAAAAATAATGTAGAAATAATGCGAATCAAGGAGCATTACCTAGGAATAACTGAGATTAAAAAAAAAAAAAAGTAAGATAAGTACAACCTGGCAGTGGGCTCAAGTATTTCAAGCAGGAGCTTTTATGAAAATGCACCAAAGTCTGATAATCAGATAACAGGAGCATTGGCGAACAATTTACTGGGGAAGGGAAAGGAAAGGGAAAAGAAAGGAAGAGGAAAAGGAAAAGGAAAAGGAAAAGGAAGGAACAGCCGGGATTCTGGAAGAATGGAACAGAAATGGAGGGAAACTACTGCAGGTGTTAGGAGGGTAGAATGAGGCAGGGGATAGGAAGGGGGGTGGAGGTGGGGCCAGGGCAGGTGGGGCTCCTGGAATGTGGGGAAATATGAGGCGGAGCACAAGGACCAGCCTCTGAGGGTCATGGGGCTCGGGGAACGGGCATTTCCTTGGTGATCATGATGAAGTAAACATCAAAGACCCTGCTCCTCAATTTTATAGGCAGTGAGAGCCCCAGAGGACCCCATGATCCGTGAACAAGGGAGGGTGTCTAAACCCAACTGAAAGTATTCACTACCTCTGGTGAGTGGGAGCGTAGCCAAATCAATCTGATTTAAAAGGAAAAAAAAAATGCTGATTTTTGCAGCAAATTCACACCTGCAGCAGGAAGAATAACTGAGACATCACCTCCACTTTTGTTTCTTCTGTTTGCTTTGTTGGAATTATGCACCGGGAAGCCCCATTTTGAGATTCACGTGGGCGGGGGCAGTGGGTGATGGTTTGCCAGGTCTGTGGTTGCAAGCACCATCTGCATGACTTTTCCCAGACCCTGTCCATCTCCACAGGTTCCAAGGCGCTGACATCCCCAGTGACAGAACAGAATTGGTTTCCCCTCCTCTTCTGAATTCTTCTCTCTCCTCCATCAGGATTTGATATGTGAACAAGAAGGGGTACATATGCCCAAGGGGATGGAGCTCTTTGAAAGGTACAGACCTGAGAGGAATCAGGACCAGGGAGGGGAGGGAGCAAAACAAGAAGAGCAAGCAGACAAAGCGAGAGAGTGAAGCAGAACGGGAGACTGGGAAGAAAGGCAAAGTAGAAAAGCAGAGGAAAAGAGGGAGAAGGAAGAGGGGACTGTTGAACCCCTGACCCTTTGGCCTTAGCAAATGCTACACACACCTGAATATTCAGTGCTCAGTGCTCCCTCCTTGGTCAGAAGGAGAATTCCCCAAGGTGTCTTTGCGCCAACTCGCTAGTTAAATGCTCATGGACACAGGTGCATTAGCCAGATGTCTCCTGGTCATACTTCATTTACTTAGTGACACGTACGTATTTAAAGCCACATTTAAAAACACATGCAAACATGGAACTATTGTTTGCTCTTACTGTCCCATTTCATTTAATGAAATCTGCATATTTATTTTTGATGGGAGTATCCTTGTCATCAAGAGAGGCACTTCTGAAGTCACCCAATACTTGTATTCAGAAAGGACTTAGAACATTAAAGTTTAGAACTTTAAGAAATAATGACTGTATAAATTTTTTTTGCCTTTTTTTTAAACGAATTCTTTCAGGTGCCCTCCATTAGCATCCACGATTCACATTAATGGAGCTAGTTAATGGCTCATCTTCTCCAAGCAATACTTTGTTTTCCAACGGAAAGTAATTGAGAGAGAGCCCTATAAATGACAACGTTTGCAAGGATTCTATTCAAAGGTGATTCCCTTTTCTTTTTCTTTGAAGTAAAATTCAGGTAAATAGGATACAGTTTTTCTAGAAGAGAGAATGTGATGGCTCAAGCCTAGGGCTGATTAGTTTTAAGATATTCCGGAGATTTCTGAGACCTCTGCAGTCAGGCCAGGCTTGGGACAAACTCCGGCCAAATTATCCAGAGAGAACACACCCCTGAAGATATCTCAGCTTCTGCTGGGTTCTAGACTATTCTATCCAGGTCAGCCTCTCTAGAAACCGTGCCTTGAGAGACCGCCTCATCTGCCCCCTGGGAGTCACCGGGCAATGTCTGAAGACATTTGGGGTTGTTACTACCGGGGCTCTATTAGAGGTCTCCAGAGAAACAGAATCAGGAAGATCCATGTGTACACACAGAGAGAGACTTATTTTAAAGGACTGGCTCACACAATTATGGAGGCTGACAAGTTCAAAACTGGTAGTTCATGTCAAAAGGCCACCATGCTGCTGACCTGGGGGAGAGCTGATACTGCAGTTCAAGTGCAAAGGCTATCTCCTGGGGAAGTCCCTCTTGCTTCAGGGCGGTCAGTCTTTTGTTCTACTTGGGCTTTTGATTGATGGGATGAGGCCCATCCACATCATCGAGAAAGCATCATCCACATGCTTTCCTCAAAGTCTACCAATTCAAAGGCAATCTCATCCCAAACCACACTCACAGAAACATGGAGAATAATCTTTGACAACAGAGCTGGGCACTGTGCCCCAGCCACGTTGACACAAAATTAGCCTCATGTTCCTGGCATCTGGCAGCTAGGGATGCCATCACAATCCCACAGTGCCCAGGACAGCCCCCGCAACAGAGAATTATCGAGCTGCAAATGTCAATGGTGCCCGGGTTGAGAAACCTCAGATCATAGGCTCCAGTCACGCACCTGGCAACAGGACTATAACATCACTGACTGGAAGGTGATGGGTGTTTTTCAGTTTGTGGGGCACCGTGAGGTTCATCTGGAAAGCAACTGGTAACAACATCTTAATGAGGATCATTCTTCCCACTCTGACTTGCTGGGAAAGAGAATTATTCCACCGAGACCTACTTATGACAAGCCTGGTGCTTTGGGATTTCTGAGCAGGCATAGATTTAATTTCTTCATGCTGAGGCTTCAGTCAATCTTCCAGCTGCAGGAATGTTCTGGAGAGAAAGAAAGGAAAGAGGGGTCCTCGGACCTGGGGAAAATGTGAGCTCAGCTGTTCCTGGAGTAAAACCAGCCTGCGGTCTCACTGTACTGTCCAGAAGCATAGCCACCGAAGCAGGACAGACACACACAAACCTGACAATGAATTTGCCGAGAACAACAGAGCAAATGGGTCAAGGGCACAGTGGTTGCATTTGTTCATTTGCTCATTCATTCACTCGCTTACCTCATGGATGGCCTCGGGATGTGCTGGGTGCTGAGCAAAAAAGGAGAAGACAATGAAACGCAATTGGAATAAAGCCATCCAAGAGAAGATGTGGTGGTTTATGTACGGATACACAGGCTCGAGTCGGGGTGACTTTTGCTATACTCCGGAGGGAAAGAGTCCTGGATTGGGGGCCAGAACTGGGTTCAAATCCTAGCTCTTCCACTTCCTGGCTGGCCCAGTCAGTCATCCTCTTGGGTCTCCTATAAGATGGGAACAAAAACACCCGCCATCCCACCTGTCACGTGGACTTGTGGTGAGATGCAAAAGCAGTAATGCCTGGCTTTGCTTTGTCAGTCGTGAAGCACTCAGCCAGTGTGCTCAACCCAGGCTGCACAGCTTTATAAACTACCAATGCCTGATCCTGTCCCCCACCGCTCAGACAGGTGGCGTCAGAATCCCCTAGTGGAGGGGGTCTAAGCACGGGTATTTTTAAAAAGCTCCCAAGGAGAAACAAAAGCACAGCCCTCCTGTAAGAGCATTGTCAATTTGTATACCGTAACCTTCCCCAAGTATGCATAGTCAAAACTTCTCATTGAGCGACGCTTGTGTCTCCTGGTTGGTTCAACTGTGACATGAAAAGTAGATTTGGGCCATTCTGCTATTTGGGGTTTTGCTTTTGGTGAGTCTGGGGTCAGGGGTGGGGGACGGATCTCATTGCAGGCAGTGAAAGAAGGTGCCTCTTCTGGGTAGAGTGTGATTCCCTGAGGGCAGGAAACAGGAGTCTTTAATCCAACAGACATTGGATTTTCTGCTCTGTGACTGGCACTTCTGAGACCACAGGGGAAGCTGCAATAAACTGAAGAGACAACAGTCACTGCTGTCATGGAAATCATGTTCTAGCAGGAGGAGGAAGACAATGAAAAGTTAGTAAGTAAAAGATGTAAAATGTTAGATGGTGATAAATACTGTAGGGGAAAATGAAACAAAGAAAGGGTAAGGGTGCCTCTGGTCCTATGGAAGAAGGGAGAGAATGAGCCTTGTTGGTACCTGGAGGTACCCTGTTTTAGGCAGAGGGAAAAGCCAATGCAAATGTCCTGAGGCAGAGGCACGCCACGTTTGTTTGAGGAACTACCAGGAGGCCAGTATTGTTGATGAGAGTGAGTGTAGCAGGAGAGAGTATCAGAGAGTTGTCTGCGGGCCTGATTACAGGGCCTTGTGGGGTAGCATGAAGCCTTTTATTTTTACTCCAAGTGAGAGGGATTTTGAGCAGAGGAGTGGATGATGGGACTTCCATCTTTGCCGGATCATCTGCTCTGCCATGTGGAGAATGAACTCAGGGGCACAAAGGTAGATGAAGAGAGACCAGACGGGAGGCTGTCCTGATAATCCCAGAGGGAAGGATGGGAGCTAAGCCTGGAGAGGGAGCTGCCGAAGTCGGGAGAAGTGCTGGGGGATGTTGGGAGAATAGCAGCGTTCAGGGAAGGCGCCGGCATCACAACTGATGATTCCAGGACAAGTTGACCAAAGCACGGAAGCAAGTCCGGTGTCCGTGTGTCAGAAAGCCAGAGTCCATCCACTAAGGTCGATGCAACCCGAAGCCTCTGGACAGACTGAAATGGCCCTCCCCTGCAGCCCTCCGACCTCCTCGTGCACTTTGTATTTGAAATGCTCCAGGTGCTATCACAAACGAAAATGCTTTCTTGATGGGGGAGAGACCTTCACCATTACTGAAGCCTTGTGAGAACGGCAATTCAAATACTGCCAATCACTGCTCCCTGCCTGAACATTTCTAAAGGGGAGACATAAGATGTGATTCTGCACAACCTTGCTCGAGTATAATCATGCTTTGCACCTGTTAGAGTGGGAACTGGCAGGACGGAACAGATGAGGTGCAAGGAAACAGGGCAGAGCCACGCACTGACCACTCTGCCAAATCCGTTTGCCCTGAGCGTTGGCAACTGCGAGACACATAGAAGCGTGCGGCCGAGGCCGAACATCTGCCACCAGATGGCGCTATTTCCCCCTGAACTGCCTGACTCCTCAGACCCACGGGATGACTTACTCCCCAGGATTCTTAGCAAGTGGTGATCATTAGTCTGTCCTAAAGTGGAGTGCCTGGAGCCCCAGAGCGAAGGGGTGAACGTAGTCCTGTCTCTTCTTGAGCAATTCTGCAGGCTCCCCTGGCATGAATGACTTGAAGATTTTGTTTCTTCCCAATCAAGCTCTCAACAGAGATTAATACAGGGGTTCTTAGCCCCTTCGGCAGCTTCTCAACTCCTTCTCAGCATCGTGCTTTTAAATGCATGAAACAGAAGGCACAGGATTACAAAGGAAGCCAATTATACTGAAATGCAGTTATCAGAATATTTAAGAAAATGTGAGACATAGTAATCTATGTGCTCCTTAGTGCAGGGAAGAATAGGATCCAGGGGCAAGCCTCCCATCCGTGTGCTTTTGAAATAGTAATGCACAAAAATGACATCTCAAGCTCTCTGCAACCAGTGTAATGTGATGTTTGTGGCCGACAATCATATTTCATGAAACTGCTTAATTTTAGTTAGAACTTAGTGAAAACAAAGATCTTTTCCTTCCTTTTTAAAAACAAAACAAAACAAAACAAAAACACAGAACAACAACAGTCCATGAACCTCTTGAAGTCCATCCAGGAACCTCTTGGAGATTGCAAGACCCTAGGTTAATAATCCTTGGTTCAGTGTCTCTTTAATGGGTCTATCACACATTTGCCAACTGAAGGAAGCAAAATATCGCTCAAGCTAGGCAGGCTCAAGTTAAAGAAGAAATGGTTCAGTATGGGGATCCAACACTCCTTTTTCCTCCCCACCCTCCCCGTGTAACCCTGCCCTACAGTTCTTCCTCTCCTCATCCTTTCTTGTCACACTTTTTAAAGATTTTATTTATTTATTTGAGAGAGAGAAAGAGAAAGAGAGCATGAGTAGGGGGAAGGGCGGGGAGGAGGGAGAGGGACAAGCAGACTCCCTGCTCTGCATGGAGCCCAATGTGGGACTCGATCTCAGGACCCCTGAGATCATGGCCCTGGGATCATGAGCTGAGCTGAGACCAAGAGTCAGACGCTTAACTGGCTGAGCCACCTAGGCGCCCCTCTTGTCACACTTCTGAAGCTCTAAGATTTCTTTACCATCTTCTCATCCTGGGATTTATTCTCTCTCCTTCAGTAACTGCAGCCAAAGCCACTTTTGGGGACCCCTTTGTTCCTCCCCTTATTTCTTTATCCAAAGAAAAGATTAGTCTCCCTCTGTCCCAGAAATAATGCTCAGTTATTTGTCCTTTGCTTTTCCTTCTTTTCCTTCCCTCTGTGGAGGTGGAGGAGGAAGAGGGAGGATGTGGTAATGGATGAGAGTCAGAAAAGCCCATTCATGACAGTAACAGAAAATGTGGCAGCTGGAGATTTTCTACATCATTCTACCTCAAATACCCCTCACTAGTCTCTATCCTTTACCCTGCTTTATTTTCCTCATGGCTCCGATCCTTACCTGAAATTAGTTGTGTATTTACTTTGTGATTTTCCATTTCCCACACTAAAATGCAAGCTACATGGGGGAAGGAATGTCTCTGTCATGACGATCTCTTGATCTCTCCAGTGCCCAGAACAGGCCTGGGTGCAGAGTAGATGCTCACTATTTGTAGATGCATAATTTGTTAAAGGAATGAACCAGTTTGGAATGGAACGGGAATGCAAATAACTCCAGCATTTCAAATTTTCAGTCTTCTCCCCTACCATTGTGTTTTATTGATTCTAGAAGTATAAAAACACCCTGAGGGAGTTGTACAGGGCCATATTAATGGAGTGGGACGGTGGTCTGGAAAGAAGGTGACTTCTTAAGAATTAAAGGAATAAAACAGAGGATGAGCTTTGATAATTATAAGTGATACAAATGTATGTATCTTCATTTTATGTAATGCAAATTCATTTTTTGCCTTGTTATATAGGCTAGAAAATATTTAATGAAAACAAGTGTTTTTCTCCTCTTTTTTTGAAGTATGAAGAAAGGAATCCTGTATTTCATATTCTCTCTGTCAAACGCTTGTGAATTTCTATTGTGTGAATTTCTTTTAAATATGAAAGTGAATACATATATATCATAAAGAGTTACATATATATTGCAAAATCTTACAGGCTGGGATATAAAGACTATATCTATCTATCTATCTATATAGTCTTTTAATAGTCCAAATGCAAGTTGGTACTTTTATTATTGATCATTTCTTTGCAAGCTGTCTTACTTTCTCGTCATGCCAAGATAGACAAGGATATTTAATCGTTTTACCTTTGTGTGTCTTGAGCCAGGCAAATATAGGTGTGGTTTCCCGAGATATTGAACTGTTCCTGGTGGTACTTTTGTAACCTAATGGATAACATGAGTAACAGAAGAGTCTACGTGAAAAATCCACACCATTTTACTTTTCTAAGAAGGGAAAAATTAAGTTCTGCAAATCACAGACTGGGAAGCCGAGTCTGTCCGGGGAGAGACAGCCCGCCTGGAGAAGCTGCGAGAGACTCTGGTGCCAGTAGGTGGAGCTAGCGTGCAGTCACCCAGGACAAATGGCCGCTCAGTAACTTAGGAACTTTGCTTTGCAGAGCGTGCTACGCTGGACCCGCATACCAAGTCCCCGAGTCCTCTCAAAGATGCTGGAGGACTGCACTAATGGTGATAGATTTTCTGACAAGTGGAAAGACGTAGGCTAAGCACAAATGAGGTGACTTCAGAGCATTTAAAAATAAATTAACTGGGCATTCTTCTATCTTCCAAATTCTAAGATCTGTTATCCTACACTTCTTTTTTCCCCCTTTGCTCCTTTATTTTGTTTCTTAAATTCCACATATGAGTGAAATCACATGGTGTTTGTCTTTCTCTGAATTATTTCACTTAGCATAATACTCTCTAGCTTCATCCCTGTCATTGCAAATGGCAAGATTTCATTCTTTTCTATGGCTGAGGAATATTCCATCATGTATACATTTACATACATTATACATACATTTATGTAATGGAATATTATGGATATATATATATTTATTTATCTCCCACATCTTCTTTATCCATTCATCAATCGATGGACATGGGCTGTTGCTATAATTTGGCTATGGTTGATAATACTGCTATAAATATCAGGGTGCATGTGCCCCTTTGAATCAGTACTTCTGTATTCTTTGGGTAAATACCTAGTAGTGCAATTGTTGGATCATAGGGTAGTTCTATTTTTAACTTTTTGAGGAGCCTCCATACTGTTTTCCCGAG